ATTCTGCAGTCATGAAGTCTCGTGAGTCCTTAATGCTTTTTTCTAGAGCCACCAGTAGCTGTATAATGGTGCTTCTGAATTGGCTTTCTGACATTGAAGTGTAACCCAGATTTTGTAACTCTGTGGGAGAGAGGGCTGTTTCTGATTCTTTCTTTTGAGGTGAGGTTTTCCTTCTAGTCATTTTGCTCAGTGCAGGGTGGCCAAAAACAAGTTGTATTGGAACCCGGGGGAGTATCTTCTAAATCTGTAGAATTTACGTCCCTTGACTTCCCCTGGAACTGGTCCGTCCAGCTGGTCTTCTGGGGGAGGGGCCTGCTGTGCTGATTTTCAGGTGTTAGCACTTGGGGGAGCTGCTCTGCCCCTGCCTGCTGCAGGGCTCAGCGGGGGTTGTTCACCCCGTGAGGCCCCAGGAGGAACAGCCGCAGTTGCTATGGCAACTCTGGAAGCCTGGATTCAGCCCCTGCAGTAACTCCGGGGCTCTCGGTCTGCAGGGCCTGGAGGCTCCGGGGCGGGGCCGCTGATCTGCTCAGCTCGGGGCAGGAGCGTCCTCGCTGTCCTGGGCCCTCCCGGCCTCTGCCTGTCCCGGGGGAGGCCGGATCCTGGGCTGTGTCCCGGCGCCCTGTGCTCCGGGGCCTGCGCTGTTGGATTCGCGCTCCCGCCCCGCAGCCCCCTCCCTGGAGCCGCCCCCGAGCCCCTCCGAGCTGCTCCGGGTCCCGCCGTGCGCGCTGCAGCCCTTAGGGAGCTCGGCGCACTCTCCCGGGGCGCAGGTGCCTGTTAGTGCCCCCGGGAGCTTGAGGGCACTCCCGCCCTCCTGGGGTCCTGCTCCAACTCCCTGCGAGGCCTTTCCGCCCGGGAAGGTTGGTGCAGCTCCTGCTTCTCCGGGACGGGGCTCTCCTGTCCTGGGGACACTCGCCCCGGCCTCAGCCCGGCTCCTCGCGGGGCCCCTCCCCCTCGGAGGCCTTTTGTTCCTTTATTTCTCTTTCCCCGTCTTCCTACCTTGATAGAAGCGCGAACTCTTCTCACTGTAGCATTCCAGCTGGTCTCTCTTTACATCTCAGGCCGAATTCGTAGATGTTCAGGGTGATTTGAAGGTTATCTAGGTAATTTGGTGGGGACAGGTGATTGGGGACCCTGCTCTTCCGCCATCTTGCCCCTCCTCCAAGTCTTTTATTTTTAAAGTTCTACATTAATATATATAACCTCCTTCCACTTGAATTCCCTAAATTTCATTGTTTTTTATTTCTATCTTTTTTTAATTGAATGCTTGACTCATTTCTTTTTTTTTTTTCTTTTTTGATTTTCAAAACATGTGAAAGTGTTTACTTCTGAGTCTATCTGGCTAAATCACATAAGCTTTGATATGACTTATATATTATTTTTCTTTGTTAACCTGTTGAATTTTTATTTGCTCTTTATCCTATGGTAATTTGTGGGGGTGTTTTAAGTATTTAAGTGATTGAGGAATTTTTATTAAAATTGTTAGTGAGTTTTATTTTAGGTAACCAAGGAATATGGCCTGTATGGCTCTTATCTTTTATGAGGTGAGCATTATAGTGCATTTAATACTTATCATTTTCATTTTTTTAAGATTTATTTATTTATTTATGATAGACATAGAGAGAGAGAGAGGCAGAGACACAGGCAGACGGAGTAGCAGGCTCCATGCCATGAGCCCAACGCAGGACTTAATCCCGGGACCCCAGGATCACGCCCTGGGCCAAAGGCAGGCACAAAACCGCTGAGCCACCCAGGGAGCCCTCATTTTCTTTTTTTAAAATTTTATAGTGTATATTCTGTGTCTGTTAACAAAATATATTATTTCTTTTTAAATTTATATAAATGGTGTCATACTGTATCCATTTTATCCTCTGTTTTAGCTGAATTGTCTATTTTTTAGATCCACTCATGATTTTAAACAGCCATAGAGTATCCATTTGAATAGATATAAAACTTTATATTGCATGTATGATCCAGCATCTATTCTTCAGTTATCTTCAATTTTTCCAAGTATAAACAATGTTCTGTAGCTTTCCCTATGAGCATGAAGAAGAATTTTTATACAGTATATGGATTGTGCACATCTTTAACTTGGAAAGATACTACAAATTATATTCCAAATTGATTGTAACAATCTCCGTACACTTTCTACTTTTAAAATTTATTGATTGGGGGGGGGGCTAGTTAAGATTTCATGTTAATAAATACTCCTTTAACGCTTGAAAAATATGTAATCTGTACAATAAACCAGAATAATATGTTATTAACTTTCAGAGAAGTGTTTAATGTGGCAGTTACATGTATAGGCTTTAAGTCCAAAATTTAAGGTTTCAAAGTCCAGCTTCATCACATACAAGTTTTCAGCAGCTCAATTTTTCTGTCTGTAACTAGGACAAGAGTAATAGTGACTCATATGGTTATAGTGAGGGTGAAATGAATTAATGAAGAAAGTAACTAAAACAGTGTCTGCCACATGATAAGAACTCAATAAACATTAGCTCTAGCATTATTATTATCATATTAAGTTTACAAGGATTGGAAAGAACATTGTAGATCAAGAGTAGGAACTCCTACTTTTCAAAACAGGGAGTGAAAATGTATTGTTTTATTATTGAATGAGGTAGTTAATTTAATATGTCATTGCATCCTTATGGGATTCACTAGTAAGAACAAACTCAATTCTTTCTCTTTAGGATTTCTTAAGAGAATAATGGCAGAATAATGAAGGAAATCATGAATAGAATGTATGAAATAGATGTACTGAAACCAAAGCAAACTAAATAATTATGATATTTTATGTAAATGGAAATTCTGGACATTGGGATATATATTCTAATATTGATATGTTGAAATCTCTCAGATCAGTGTGAAACAAAATACAGTGCTTGAAAAGTTTAATATCTATTGAGATATCATATAAATGAAAAGAGAAAGCAAAGAATGGCATCATTAAATTTTAATTTATGAATAGATAATGAATAATGCAAGTGAATGAAGTAAAAAGTTAACTACGAGGAAGGAAACTAAATTTTCCTGTAAAACAAAATTAGCCTTAATTAAATTTAAAAATAACTGTAACAAGCTGTGGCTTATAACAGGTATGCCTAAATCCAAAAATACTAGTAACTTAAAAGGGCATAGCTCTTGTATTACTCCTTCAAGACTACAGAGCAATTTATTATCATTTTATCTGCATAGCCATTATAATGAAACAGTAATTGACAGAAAGGCAACAAAAGACACAGTTAATCTTCCATCAGGTGCCTACCTGGCAAAGATATTGAAACTTGGTTGCACAGGGATTGCTTCTGTAATAAATCACCATAAATTTAGTGCCTTAAAGAGACATACATTATTATCCTGCAGTTCTGGAGATCAGAAGTTTAAAATGGGTTGGCAGAGATGTGTTCTTCGTAGAAGATCTATGGAAGAATCTATTTTCTTGCCTTTCCCAGTTTCTAGAGTCTCCCTGCATTCCTTGGGTCATGGCTCCCCATCATTGGCTCTGTCATCAATTCCCCTTCCCTGGCTCTGATTCTTCTGTTTTCTTCTTATAAGGACCCTCGTGATTACATTGGACCAACCAGGATGATTTGGGATAATTTCCTCATTTTAAAGTTTACTCACATCTGCAAAGTCCTTTTTGCCATGTGAGATAATAGATTCATAGGTTTGGGGTATTAGGACACACACTGAGCCCCCAAAGTCCTTCGGTCCCATTCAAGATGGGAGATACTCAAGTATATTAAAGAAAATAATCCAGTAAAAAGGAAAAAAACGATGATGCCAGAGAAAGAGGACACAATAGTAAAATCCTTAAGAAATGAAAGGAATTAGCATCCAAGTATGCTTATTCCATTTTAGTAGTACTTGGCACATTTTAGGGACTCAGTAAGTGTTTGCAAATACATACTAATCTGAAGTCCAAGTATTTACTTGGAAGATGCCAAAAGGCAGAAATTTGTGCTACATTTGCTATATTCATAGCAAAACTAAACAAAAACATAGTTATCTAGTAATAAGGTAAAACTACTACTTCAAAATTTATTTGAGAGAGAGAAGATACCAAAACATTTGAACAATAAAAATATAAGGAAAACACATCAAAATGCATGTTACCAAAATAATATTCAAAAGAATATATACTTTTCTGAATATATATGGTAACTGAGACTATTCTAGGACTTGAAAAAGAAACAAATTAAACCAAATAAGTTGGATAGAGATGACGCATTTAAGAGCAGAAATAAGCATGTTCGGGGAAGGGGAGAGAAAAATCAATAAAAATTGAGCACCAAAAACAGTAATTAACTGGGAAGAAAAGGTTAAAGTAACTGCCCTTGAAGTCATTCACTTCCTTCAGGAGGCGGAGAAACCCCCAGAGAAAAAGGCAGGTGACCATCCTGCCAACTGGACCTCCAGGTAAATAGACTATAAATATTTGTTAGGAAGGAGAGTACTTCTTTCTAAAATGCCTTAAACAGGAAATCTCAGGCTAAAGATTGCCTAAAGCAAATAGAATCCAAGATGTAAGGGGGGTGGCTCCTTGGACAATGCCACACAGGATATAAAATACAGCGGTTTTAGAACTGAAACGCTCTCACAGTGTGCAGTGCTCCTGGCTGCCTCACACAGAGACCTCTCTATTCCAGATCAGAGGAACATATTCAGGGCAGGAAGAACCTCTGTCTGTTGCCTCTGAACTTTTTGACTGCTTGTATCCTTGCTCTTATTTGGTGAAGCTTTTCACTAGGTAAGATTTCTGATTTATGTGAGTCTGGTTTTTCAGTCCAACCCTGGGCATTGGTTACTCATTAATCAACAGAAAAGCCTAACATCAATGATCAACCACTGACTCAATTCAAAAAAATATTTAATAAGTCTATTTTAAAAAATCACTTACATCATGACAAATATTCTCAACTATAATATTAACTCATCGAGAAATCAAAGTAACATGGATAACTATTTAATAAAAAGGAGGTATTCAAATGAACATTTCATAAAAGATTCACATTAATAAAGTCAATGACACAAAAATAGGAAGTCATTACATAATGAGCATTTCATTGTTACAGATTCATTGTAAAACTTTGTAAAAATGTCAAAGGATCATACATAGATAACAGTAACTATCCAGAAATATTTAGAATTAAAACATAGCCCAAAAAATTCTATGAAGCAAAAACTGTTTGGATTCCAAAACCTAAAAAAAAGAAATATCACAGAAGGTTTATTAGGCCAATTTCAATTACAGAATGATATACAAGCATCCAAATATTATAAAAACTGCCAGTGATTTATCCTAGGACTTTAAACTGATGCAGCACAAAGAAAACAACCAACGTGACTCATCATATTAACAAGGGGGAAAAAAAAAACCTAAAATCTTCTAAGCTTCTCACTAAGCGCCAAGAACACATTTGGCAAAATCTAATATCTTTGTTCTAAATTTTAAGTCGAATAACTAAGCTCAATAACGAAGTCAGTAACTAATGTCATTGAGAATTTAACTGACCATCATATGTGTATTTCAAGTCCTGTGTTTATATATTTAATATCAATCTTCTGGAGTCATTCCCTTTAAGAAAATGACAATGAATACCACCCCCCTTTTACCACTTCTGCTTAATATATGAGTAATATTTGCAATTCATGTATTAGTACTATTGGTAATTACCATTCAAGCAGGAAAGAAAATAGGGATTACAAACATAACAATGAAGATATAAATGAACTATGTTTGCAGATGACATGAATATGCATCTGGAAAGAAAAAAAGAAAAAAAAGAAATTATTACTAGAGACAATCATCCAGCAAGGCTCCAGACTGTAAGATAAATCCACCAAACTTAATTGCATCTCTTTATAAAAATGATACCTGATTAGAATAATGTAGAAACAGAATTAATTTCACTATAATAGAGGTCAAGATATTTAAGTGCCAGAATATTCATTTAATTTAGGTCATAAGGGTTTGGGGGTTTTTAATACATAATAGAATAAGCAATCTATTAGAATTCTGGTTGGAAAAATTAAATCTAGACAAGATTTCAATATGTCTATAGTTGTCATAGATAGTAAATTAATGGTGATAATAAATAGCATTTATTGCTTACTATGTGGCAGGTATTATGGAAAGGGCTTTATTGCATTTTCTGCTTAATCACTAATCCTATGAGCTAAATTCTAATCTCTTCACAGTCAAGGAAGTTGAAGTTAAGAGAAGTCAAGTATTTGTCTATAGTCACTATGTGGTAAGTGACAAAGACTGGATTTGAAATGACTATACAGGATACTTGGTACAAATTGAACAATCGAGAGTGAAGCTTATTGAAAAGAGTAGGCAAGAAGTAATAGCACATTTTTTCTCTTAAAGATTCAAAACAATAAACTCCTTGTACCAGATTTTTAAAAAGCTTCAAAGTGATAATTACATGTTTGTATTTTTTTTGTTTTTTTTTTATTTTTTTTTCATGTTTGTATTTTTTGAGGCTAGCTACAAGTGGTGTATTTGATTAAAAATTAAAATATAGAAGTAATTTGTTAACATATAATTAGAAAATGGGTTTCTGCCAAGTATCTAAATTGCTCTGGGGACTGAGCCCAGTTCAGACCCATGTTGCCCATGACCTCTAACTGGGTCTCACAGGTGTGCCCACAGTGTAGGGCACAGGTAACCGAAGAGGGCATGACCAGGCCCAGCTGGGTGCTGCTCTCTGCTGGGCTCTGGACCTCACCTCACCTGCTGCTCTCTACTGGGCTCTGGACCTCACCTCACCAGGCTAGAGAAGGAAGCCTCGACAATACATATCCAACTCCAAATCTCTATTAAAACCCCATACTTGCTTGAACCAGTGTGTCTCATCAAAAACGATTAATAATTTCCTGTGCTTTTTCTTTCTATTCTTTAGATTCTATTTCATTTGTTTTGTGCTTTAATTTCTTATGCTTAAGGTACTTATTTCTACTTCCTCTAAATCTCTTGATTTTTTTCAAAATTTTATTTGCTCTGTCATTTTTTCATTAAATACTTTTTATATGTTGATTTTGCCTGTCCTTAACTTAATCTTTCTTTGACGTTCATCCCATTTGTTATAATGTTCTTAACATTCTAACTCTCCGATATTAGCCTGCTTCTTATTTCTAACTTTGTGAGGTTTCAAAATGATTTATAATTCATGTATTTCAGTTTTTCAAATGGTTAACTTTTGGTTGTAATTATGTTCATTATTGTTAATCTGTGTTTCTAACAATTCTTCATTTTTCTTCCTTTTTATGATTTTAACTATAAATCTTCTTCCACTTACACATGAATTATTTTTTCCCTCATGATGTGTCTTCACGATGGCTGAAAAAAGTTATAGTCAAGAAAGTGATAAGAGAGAGGGGGTAGTCCATCATAACAAGAAAAACTACAGGCTTTTTCCCTATTTTTCCTCTCTTACCTTACCTCAACATCTATCTCTCTGTTGCCATCCCCACCTTTACCCCAAGCCTTAATCTTTGGCAGCTCACAGGTTAGTGATCCTAACCAGGTGATAAAAATTCTCCCCATCTATATGTCTCACACTTACTCTCCTGTGATCAGTGTGATTTTCTTAATTTATCATTTTCATGAGAAACTATGTATTCTACATCCATGGTCGCTAACATATACAGATGTAGAGCAAGCCATGCCACATTTATGGCACAGGATAGACAGGGCATTAATCGGACGTCAAAACATTACAACTATAATCTGACTCTGGTAGAGGAACCAGCTGATGTTGAACTTCTAGCCAGCATTCACAGAGGAATATTAGCATTCCTGAGTCTGAGGCCCTGCTTCTAACACTCTTTACCTGTCATATTTTTTGTCTTATTATTGAGATATAAATGACATATAACATTATGTTATTTTAGGTGTCCAATGTAACAATTCTATATTTGCATATATTGCAAAATGATCACCTCAACAAGTCTAGATAGCAACCATCACCACCATAGTTGCAATTCTTTTTCCCCTGAGATGAGACCTTTTATGATCTGCTCTCTTACCATATTTCTACCTTTGGTTTTTCTAACCTTTTTCTCCACTTAGTTCTAGGATTCTCCCAGTACATGGACCTGCTCTCATCCTTCCCTCATAATGGGGGACACATTGACGCTGGCTAGACCTGAGAATTTAAGTTGAGAGACAATCTCTGCTAGTCTGTCTTATTATCACTAAAATCCCTCCCCCAAACCCTTCTAAATTACCAGAATCCTAAGAGAAAAGGAAGCCTATTTAAACTCTTTGCTATGGATCCTTAATACAGGTAGAATCAACATGACTTCTCTGATTCTTTGTCTTCTCAAGTTGAACAGGATGGTATTCTGGACTGATTAGAATTCCAAAGGGTAACAAAAATCAATCTTCAGAACTCAAGTCTCAAAGTTGATTCCCCCAATATCATGCTATTTTACCCTTCTGCTTATTCCTTTAGGAGGGCCCAACTAAATGGAAGCTTTCATCTGTGATTGAATTATCTGATATAGTGTAACCTATATAAGACACTTACTGTTCTGGTTATTTATTGCCATGTAACAAATTACCCCCCAAAACTTAGAAGCTTAAGGCAATAACCAATTTATTATGTTTTATGATTCTGTGAGTCAGGGCTTTGGGCAGGATTCCACTGGTGATTCTTCTGCTCCATATGGCATTTACTAAGGTCATCTGCTGGTATTCAGCTGTTCCAGAGAGTCCAATACACCTGCTCTTATGGTGCAAGAACATCAGCAGACATGGCTGGGAAGCTGAATTCAGTGGAGAATGTCAACCAGAGCACCTACATGTGGCCTTTCCTGGTGTAGTCATATGTCTTCCATGGTTGCTGAAGACTCTTAAAGAGTGTTCTTAGAGAAAGGAAGTGAAAGCTGACATTTTTTGGCCTTGGCTAGAACACTGGTGAAGTTCACATCTACTATATTCTATTGTTCCAAGAAGCCAAAGGCCCCACTCAGATTCAAGTGGGGGGGAAATAGACGTGTAGCTCTCCTACTCTAAGGAGTATAGTTGACCAAGGGCCCAGGTACTGCACTTTGAAGTCTGTATCTCCCACCAGGGATTGAATATGTCAGACATATTAAGTCAGACTTGTTTCTGAAAGACATAAGACTGTCTGTCAGCCAGCTTTGGCCTAAGGACTCCCCAATAGCTCTGCTGAAAATTGCTTGGATACACAGCAATCTAGGATGCTTTCACTCTTATCCCCCTCCCTTCTTCACTCAATCAGACTTGCACTGCTATCTAATGTCTCTCCCAGCCTCTCTTGTCTTCATCTCTGTTTCCTTTCATGAAGACATCGCTTCCCACTAACCTTCTTGCACATCTAATGTTATCTTGGTTTCTAGCTCTCAAGAACTCCTGCTAACATAAAATTTTACCTCTCAGAAGGAAGAGGGTTAAAGAATTTGTGGCTATCTTCAATCACATCACTTCTTATTCCATGCTCTAACCCTGGAACTTTCTCAAAGTAACGAATTTCACCCGGAGTGTGTAGTTACTGGCCTGCAGATCCAGCCCCACTCCTACCTCCAGCCACAGCTGCTTGAACCCCAGATTGACTCCCAATTCAGGCAACCCAAGGCTGAGCTGAAGCAATCACAGTGTCTCTCAAGAATTAACAGTCAATCAACCAGTTAGCAATAAGGAGCTGGCTGCTAGAATGGTAGCCCCAGAAGCCAGAGTCAGCACCATAGCAAGCCAAAGCTAAGAGGGACCACAATCAGAAGCCTTGTAGACGATTTAGAGAAAAGAAAATATAACCCCACCTGCAGAAAGAAGCAGAGACACAACCCTTGAGGCAAAGTGATAGACATTCCAGAGATGCCTGATGGATTTCCAGTTTCCGTGAGGTCCAGGTATACACTGTACAAAGGAGTTTTATATAACCCATTGAGTTGTTTGCCCAAGATTGAAGTTCTAAGCCAGAATGTGACCTTATTTGAAAGTAGGGTCATTGCAGACGGAATTGAGTAAAATGAGGTGATACTGAAGTAGGGTAGGCTCTTATTCCAATATGATTGTATCCTTATAAAAAGGGGGAGTTGGGACACAGACACACACATACACACACACAGGAAGAACACCACTTAAAGGTAAAGGCAGAGATGGGAGTGAAGTTTCCACCAGCCAAGGAATACCAAAGACTTCCAGCCAAACACGAGAAGCTAGGGGAGATTCTAGAACAGATTTGCTCTCAGAGCCTTTAGAAGGAACCAACTGTACCTCAGACTTCTGGCCTCCAGACTGCAACCATAAATTCCTGTTGTTTAAACCATTCAGTTTGTAGCAGCCTAGCAAACTAATATAACCCCTATTACTTTCCAATAAAACCCATTTCCATTTGAGCTAATTTGAGTGGTTCTCTGTTCCTTGTAAAGGAAAAAAAAAAAAGATATGCATCAAAAGGCCTGACTTATATCACCTATGCTCTGAACAGAGAGAACACCCTCTAGCAGAGCCAGGATTCTTCTCAGAAAATTATTCTGAATGTCCTCCAGGACAAAGATAAATGAATGAGCAAAGTTTAAAAGTTCTCGTCTAAAGTGGATGTCAAAAGAGTTTTAGCCCCAAAAAAAAATTTTTTTTTGCCCAAAAAACTTTAAAGGCAAATACAACCAGAATTTTGCTTTGACAAAACAAACTCTCAATTAAGCAACGTTAGTGTGCAGAGCTTTGGGTGATGCTATTTCCTCCTATTAGTCACAGAATAAACGATTATCTAAAAATATAACCAAGTAACTACTCGTTTTATATGGGATCTCTATTCATTGCCCAGTTTAGAAGCAGGGAATGGAAACCAGAAGAATTTTAGTTTTTGGAAAAGAGGATTAGAAGTCCTTTTTTGGCAATAATTAACTAGCAAGGTCATGCTGTCAGCATATTAAACAAAAATTATCTTTCTGTCTTTCATAGTAAACATGTGCATCCAGCTCCCCCAAAAGTGGCTCTAGAAGATGAAAATATAAATTTTAAACAGGGAGGGGGCAGAGAAGAATGAGAAGCAGGTAAAACATAACCACGCATTAGCAATTCTAACTCCTCTGCCTGGGAGTAGTCATTAACCACCCTAAATCCCACAGGAGTCTAATGACTCCGAATGAGTATCTATAAAAGCCACAAATTATCTAATATTGTCCCTGATTTACTAGGTGTGGAGTAGCCATATATAAAACCTGACTGTTCTATAAAATACTGGCCTGAGAATCCCAGACATCCAAGCAAATTGCAGACCAGGGAGGAATATACCACAAATTAATAAAACTATAATTTGGAGAAACTAGCTAATTGCTTTTTTCTTTTTCTGGGAAGATTGTCTTTTTAAATATGGAATCCTCCAAAATGTGGCTTCCATAGGAGACAATTTTTTGTTTTGACTTCAAACATGCTGACTGGTTTTCAAAAGCTAAGTCTTCCTAGGCACTAACCTTTGTGAACCTTTATATTGTGTTTGTTAAAGATCAGAGCTTTATAAAACTCATCACTTCCTATAAACAATTGTAAGTCTTTTGTTTTTCTTCCAGGAAGAAAGAAATTTTTGACTAATGACTAGTCATTCAGGTATCTATAAATCTCAGGGAAATTTCCCAAGTGCTGTGGCTTTCTCCATAGAGACTTGTTTCTCCAAGTCCGAGTCCTCATTTCACCAAACTGGCTCTTATGTCATGGAGACCTGCCATCTTACCATTGTGTCTTCTCATTCTTAAATGTGGGCTATATCTCCAATCTAGTCAAGTCTTCTTTACCATCACTCAGACCACATATCCTAGTTTCCTGTGTATGGATTTTTCAAATCTCTTGTCACATTTATCCCTAAGTATTTTAAGGTTTTAGTATGGTATTCTGAATTCTATTTTTAACTTCATTTTTCAATTGTCAGTTGAGAGTACATAGAAATATTATGTACTATTACATAATTGACAATATTACATCTATTGACCTACTAAACTACAGCTTGCTCAATTCACTTAATTCATTCTAGCAGTTCTTTGTTAAATTCCTTAGGATTTTCTCCATTTTAAAAAAAATGCCATTTGAGAATAAGTAATTTTGACTATTTGTCTCCAGTCTTGAACCTTTTATTTCTTTTTCTTGCCTTATTGTCCTAGATAGGCCTGCCAGTACAATGTTGAATAGAAATAATTAGAACAGAAATCTTTGCCTCATTCCTGATCTTAAGGGGACAACGTTCAGTCTTTCACAATTAAATATAATGTTAGCTATAGGCTTTTCACAAATCCAATTGATCTTTTTGAAATAAAAATTAGATCAGGTTATTCATTTGACCAATATCCTCTAGTGGCTTCCTAAATCATTTAAAATAATATCCTAAATTCTTAAAATGATCTGCACCATGTGGTTTTCTGTTATCTCTCTGAACTCAGACCCTGCCATGCTTCCTTATTCACAGTCAGCCACACTGGCTTGTTGCTTCAAATGTTACAAGCTGCCCCACTCAGTACTTTTGCACTTGCCCCTGCTGCCTGATTGTTTCTCCCTAGATAACCATTCTGTTCTCTGTTCAAATTTCACTGCATTAGTGACACCCCTCTTGACTACTTTATATAAAATAGACACCCCACCTCCACCTTGCCTAAATATTTCCTGCCACCCATCCTGCCATATTTTCCTTCACAGAACTTATCACCAACCAATATATTATATACTTCTTTAATTATTCATATATCCTTTCCTTCCATCATGAAAGATCCTTGAGGGCAGGAATTTTTTCTGTGACATAACTGAGCAAATGGTTTTTGTTTAGAAAGTATGTATTGAATGAAAAAATAAATATCTACTCCGTGTTTGAGTGTCAATAAGGCTTACCCTGCCATTTGCTATTTGCTAGGGGTGATGGAAAGCAAAACTGTCACTATCAAAGAACTTAGAAAGTAAGGTAAACAAAGGCAAAAAATGAACTATTGGGACTTCATCAAGATAGAAAGCTTTTGCGCAGCAAAGGAAACAGTTGACAAGACCAAAAAACAACAAACAGAATGGGAGAAGATATTAGCAAATGAAATATCAGATAAAGGTCTAGTATCCAAGATCTATAAAGAACTTCTCAAATTCAATACCCAAAGAATAAATAATCCAATCAATAAATGGGCAGAAGACATGAACAGACATTTTGCCAAAGAAGACATACAAATGACCAACAGACACATGAAAAAATGCTCAACATCACTTGGCATCAGGGTAATACAAATCACAACCACAATAAAATACCACCACACTGCAGTCAGAATGGCTAAAATTAACAAGTCAGGAAATGACAGATGTTGGTGACAGATGTGGAGAAAGGGAACCCTCTTACACTGTTGATGGGAATGCAGCTGGAAAATAGTATGGAGGTTCCTCAAAAAGTTAAAAATAGAGCTACCTTATGACCCAGCAATTCCATTATTGGATACTTACCCCAAAGATACAAATGTAGTAATCAGAAGGGGCACCTGCACTTTGATGTTATAGCAGCAATGTCCACAATAGCCAAACTATGGGAAGAGCTCAGATGTCCATCAACAGATGAATGGATAAAGATGATATGGTATACACACACACACACACACACACACACACACATATGGTATATACCATATGTATATATACCATATATATGCCATATACATATATATAATGGAATACTACTCAGCTATCAAAAATGAAATCTTGTCATTTGCAATGACATGGATGGAACTAGAGGGTATTATGCTAAGTGAAATAAGTCAATCAGAGAAAGACAATTATCATATGATCTCACTCATATGTGGAATTTAAAAAACAAAACAGATGAACATAGGGGAAGTGGGGTGGGGGGATAGAGGGAAACAAGCCATAAGAGATTCTTAATGACGGAGAACAAACAGGGTTGACGGAGAGAGGTGGGTGGGGATGGGCTAGATGGCTGATGGGTATTAAGGAGGACAGCTATTATGATGAGCACTGGGTGTTGTATGTAAGTGATGAATGACTGAATTCTACTCCAGAAACCAATACTGCATTGTATGTTCACTACCTAAAATTTAAATAATAAAAACAAAATAAAATGAAATAGAAGTGGTCTTGTCACTCCCTTTTTCTTTTATTTTTTGTTTCTTACATAAACTTACAGGATTTTGCTGTCATGGTCATATCATGGTAGTCAAGGTCTAGACAAGTATTACCTACATTCCCATATGGACATTCTGAATAAGGCTTAGAAAATCTCTTATTTCACTGCAATGTGCCAGCTTTATATTAGATCTCAGAGGCTCATAAAAATGTGACATAGTGTCATGTATAGTGTCATTTAAATAATTTATACGGCCATTTCCCTGGAAAATAGTGATCTGGTCATGAATCCATGGCCACAATCCTGGTACTGATTACTGAGTGACTAAAGTCTCCAAGAAAAAGACTCTTTCTTCAAGAAAGACTTCACAATCAATGCATATGTTGAAAGTATTTAATTTGACATATTTTCTACTTAAAACTTTAATTTAAAATAACTTTATTAATTGCTTTTGATTGCCAGACTCTGTGGCTGGATTAAATTTCCCATTCTTCACGATATATCATGTAATTGTAATTGTGTTTTATCTGCTGATGATATCAATAAATTGCACAGTAAATCACCACAACTATTCCCTTCCAGGAGAATATAGTATGCTCACCAGAAGCCATATCATGCCCTACATTCTTTATTATTTTTTTAAATAACTGGATTAGGAAATATCAACATTTAATTGACTGTGTTGAATTTAGTAGGTCATAATAATCATGAGTGTGCAGCCCCAAAATGAAAACAACACTTGAAGCACATGCTACCTTCATTTCACAATGATTAAGAAAAAATAGTTTCTATTTAGACATATATGAACAGCAGCTACCAGTGTGATACTAAAATCATCCTAAGAGAATATCCTCCCACATTCCTTCAGGAGAAAATGTATCTGAGAAAACTGACACATCACCTAATTACAAAGCAATTCTTAGTTAGCTCTAGGCTCTAATTTTAATGCAAAATACAAACTTGAGTCACTTATATGATTGAAGATTTATTTCATGCTGATTTTATTTTAACGGAAATAATCCCCATAAAGAATGAAGATGCAACCAAAAGAGCCTTTATGGATAATTTGAAAATAGATATCTTTTTTTTAATTTTTATTTATTTATGATAGTCACAGAGAGATAGAGAGAGAGAGGCAGAGACACAGGCAGAGGGAGAAGCAGGTTCCATGCACCGGGAGCCTGACGTGGGATTCGATCCCGGGTCTCCAGGATCGCGCCCTGGGCCAAAGGCAAGCGCCAAACCGCTGTGCCACCCAGGGATCCCTGAAAATAGATATCTTGATAGCAGGAAGAAAAATACAATTTATGTGTAAACATCATTTGAACATTTCTGCATAATCAAACTTTTCTTTAG